GCACAGAGCCTGACGCCGGGCTCGACCTTACGAACCATAAGATCATGACCTGAGCCGAAGTCGGATGCTCAACCGACTAAGCCACCCAGGCGCCCCAGTGTGGCTACTCTTATAATCAAGAAAATGAATAAACGTTCATTTTGCGTCCTCAGTAAGGGAGTTCACGAGATCTCGAAAGATCCTGCCAGCTCTAACATCTGTCAAAGACTCTCTGATCTCAGATTTGCTCGGGTGTTGAAAAAAAGAAAGAAAAAGGAAAGTCTGGAGTCCGGTATGGTTCCCTGTCCTGAAGTGAGCAAGGCAAGCCCCAGCCGTTGCTGGGAGGGAATTGGGCAGCTTGCACAAGCTCACCGCCCTTTTCCGTTCAGTTCTGGAAACCTTCCTCCCGGGACTGTGGTGCCTGTCTCTCAGGAGAGAGGGTGGCCCCACAGGACTGGGGTCTATCCCGGGCCAGCAGGGCCGCTGGACTCACCCTGGGCCACGGGAAAGAGAGGCTATTTTTGTTGTGGGTGCTGAATGGTTGGCCTCTCGCCAAGAGCGCGTGCTCCTTGGTGTGGTTGATGTCTCTTGCTGCTGCTGCTGCTGTCTCTACCACTGCGTCCAGAAAACACTTGAGAACACGTTTGTCCAGTGCCAAGGGCCCAAACCTGAGATGAGTGTTCTTTTTGTGTGTCTGCACCCCCACCCCCCGCCCCCCGGTCTGGCCATCAGGAGGGCAACAGCAGACCAGAGTATGGCTGGAAGAAAGTTGGTGGAAAGACCTGTCTCCTAGGGCTTTCCTTGCCTCCTCACGGTGGTTTCAGAGGATCCAGTTCAAGCATCGGGGCCTTCTTGGCGGAGAGAGCCTCCCTCCCCTCCGTTGGCCTTTGCTTTGCTTACTGCTGCGGTTCGTCTCCCCGCCTGCCCCCACCCGCCAGCCCGGAAACAGGTGTCCTTCTTGGAGCAGGGCTTGACATGATACCCCGACCCGTATCCAACCTAGTCTGTCTCCTCGGGCAAATCTGTGTCCCAGGTCAGCCTCCAGCAAGGAGGCCACCAGAGAAGGGCCACCGTGTCACACAACTCCGGGAGTGGGTGGCGTTTATATAGATAAGGCTGCACGTAGGGCCCCTGGAGTGGTGTGGTGCTGTGGCCCTGACTCGAAGCCTGGTACCACGTGAGACCTACACCCAGGCTGTGGACCCCTCCCAGCATCCAGCTGGCATTGTGCAAAGCACTAGCTGAGGACCTCTTGGGACTTGGCCCCGAGGATACAGCCTTTGCCCTCTGGATGCTGGGTAAGCAGCCGGTGCAGGCAGTTCGAGGTAGACTTGTCTCTTGGTCACCACGGATACATCACTGGACTTGTTTTTTTCTTTTGTTATTTTTTAAAAATATTTATCTTGAGAGAGAGTGAGCGTGAGTCAGGGAGGGGCAGAGAGAGACAGAATCAGCACAGAGCCCACTCAGGGCTCGAGCTCACAAACCCTGAGATCGTGACCTGACCCGAAATCAAGAGTCGGACGCTCAACCGACTGAGCCACCCAGGCGCCCCTCTTTTAAGATTTTATTTTTAAGTGGTCTGCAAACCCAACGTGGGGCTTGAACCCACAACCCCGAGATCACGCATTGCTCGCTCTACCCACCGAGCCAGCCAGGTGCCCTGGGACTGGTTCCCCTTGCCCTCTGCTACAGCCCCCCCTTTATCTGTTTCTCACTCCGGGCCGCTCTGTTCACCTGTCAGTTGCAGAGCTACTTTGCCGCCTGCGAGGACGAGACGCCTGCCATCCGGAACCACGACAAGGTCCTGCAGCGCCTGTGCGAGCACTTGGACCACGCCCTGCTGTATGGGTGAGCTGGGGGTCCTTTCCGGAGAAGACCGACCGCGGGGCACCTGGGAGCCTCCAGAGAGAAGTCCTTCCCCTCCTCTGCCCTTTATTTCTTCCCTCTCTTGGCAGAAAGAGATTTGCCTCAGGCCACAGGCTGTCTGTAATTGCCCCCGTAAATCACCTCCTTGCGGGCGTGAATGGTTGTGGAAAGAATTAGCAGCAAATGAGACCCTGCGTGAAGGCGTGGTGGTTGCCCTGGGCCCCCGCTGGGAGCTGGGAGCCGGGACCCTGTTGCTTTCGGCCCCCAGCTCATTCGGGTCATGGCAGCTCCTGTCCTGTTTTCTCAGACTGCAAGACCTCTCATCTGGCTACTGGGTGCTCGTGGTGCATTTCACCCGGAGAGAGGCCATCAAACAGATCGAGGTGCTGCAGCACGTGGCCACCAACCTGGGGCGCAGTGAGTAGGCCCAGGGGGATGCTGGGAAGGGCCCACCGCCGTCCTCCCCGTGGTGGGTGGCCCGGGGCGAAGGTGTGGCCTCAGGGTCAGCCCCGGGAGGCTGATTCCCCCCCCCCCCCCGTGGCGCCCAGTGGCAGAGGGGCGTTCCGCTGCTGGCGCCCTGCGTATGACAGTTAGTTGGGGCGTCACGGCCGGGGGGGAAGGACAGTGAGGTGCTGAGGACAACCGGACTCCTCTGGAGCCCCAGCCCGGAACGGGGAGCCTCGCTTCTCTCCCTGAGCTGGTGTTAGCCGCCGGGGCTGGTGCACAGTGCTCATACTTCTCAACCCGTCTGGACCGTGTGACCTGCGCTCTTTCTCAGGTCTCCCTGCCCCGCCGCCAGCGAGGGTCTGACCAGGAGCCGGCCCGTGTCAGGGGTTACGGCCCTACAACAAGACAGGAAGGAGGCTCTCTGAGTGCTGGGTGGCCTCAGCTACTCTTACTTTCCTTCCCGCCCGCCCTGGGCCGGAAGAACCAGACCTTCCTTCTGGTTACTCCTGCCGTGTGTTTGCAGGCAGGGCCTGGCTGTACCTGGCGCTCAACGAGAACTCTCTGGAGAGCTACCTGCGGCTGTTCCAGGAGAACCTGGGTCTGCTGCACAAATACTACGTCAAGTGAGTGTCCGGCACAGTCTGTCTCCCGTGGCCCCGGAGCTCCCCTTGAACCTTGTCCCAAAGACTCTTGTCACACGCAGACACCATGGCGTGCCACGTCAGAGGCCTAGCCTGGCATTGCATGCTGGGGCCACGTCAACGGTGGCCGAAGAGGCCTCAGCGCCTTGCCTGTGATGCCTTTGCCGGGAGTCTGGACGGGCGTCCCCCCCCGGGGTCCTGTGTAGCAATGTGGTGCTCTGCCTCTGCCCGATCCTCCACCCCGGCCTCAGACCTTACTGGAATGCTTAACCACATAGAGCAGCTGCAGAGAGCTAGATGAGCCGTGTGCCGCAGGCCCCATAGCTGAAGACACTGGCAGGAAAGTGCTGTGTGGCTCTAAACCCAGTAGGAGAATATGCTGGAAAGGGGCGGGTGAAGGCTGCCCCAAGCTGGGTGCCCTCCAGGGATTGGGGACGTCACATGTCAAATTTCAACACAGCCGGCTTGCCCGGGAGATACGGCCAAGCTGGTAACCATCGTCCCTCCTCGTGTCTCACAGGAATGCCCTGGTCTGCAGCCACGATCACCTGACTCTCTTCCTGACCTTGGTGTCTGGGCTGGAGTTCATTCGATTCGACCTGGATCTGGTGAGACCCCTTGGCTCTTGCTGCCTGCGGGGGCAGCGGGGTGGGCAGGGTGGGCATACCGTTTTGCTTTTCTGGTTCCTCTCAGGGGACCCGTGGGGTGTGACTGAGCCTGAGCCACATGTTTGGTGTTCAGGGACGGGAGGGTTCAGGGTCAGAACAGTGGAACTGAGTAGGTGATTCTATCTTGGCTTATCTAAGCCAGAACGCCTCGTTCCGGTGACCCCTTCCTGCCTGTCTGTCCCCACATCGCCTGGAGTATTTAGTGCTAAAATACCCTCTGTCATGTTTCCAGTGTGTTTGAGAAAGACCAGGCACGTTCACCCCTGTGCCTCTTGGGATCCTAGAAGGGTCCTCGGCTCCTTGCTTCCCAGCCTCCCTCACGCTCACCCACTGGAGAAACGGGACGCTGGCCCAGGAGGGGCTGAGGAGGGCCCAAAGCGGCTCTGGACTTGGCTCATCAGCGGGCAGCTGCCCCGTCCCAGTCCAGTCACCCCGCCAGGCCCCCGCACCAGCAGCACAGGCTGCCTACTGAAAAGTAGGCGAAACTGGAGGAAACGGGAGCGACTCTCATGGTCGCAGAGGTCAAGGAGGGGTCGACAGGCAGAGTAGGGTTCTGGCATCTCCGTTGGCCTCGAGTCCATCGCTGTATGAGCCACAGCCATTCTCATCGCTCCTTTTAGCGGCTAATTTCTGAATTTAGAGCCTTAGGCCCACTGCTCTCCCAAAGGAAAACCAGCACAGGAGGCCTGGCGGGGGCAGGTCTGCGCACGGCCGCCCAAGGCCTCCCGCAGCCAAGCCTGCCCTCTGCACTCTCGTCTCAGGACGCCCCTTACTTGGACTTGGCCCCCTACATGCCTGACTACTACAAACCTCAGTACCTGCTGGACTTCGAAGACCGCCTCCCCAGCTCCGTGCAAGGTTCGGACAGCCTGTCCCTCAACTCCTTCAACTCCGTCACCTCCACCAACCTGGAGTGGGATGACAGCGCCATTGCCCCATCCAGCGAGGGTAAGCGCCCCCGGGCGGCCGGGAGCCACGCCTCTGCGGTGACACTGCTGGCGCCTGGCTGGCTGGCGTCTTTCCGGGCTCCTTGCGGTCCAGTCTGATGGGGGAGATTTGAAGTTCGACAGGGCCCACCATTTCCCAGATCTTCGTTTGCTCAGTGTCTCCGCGGCGGCTAAAACACTGACTGTGGGCACAAAAAGCCAGCGTGAGATCATGGGAATGTCAGACTCTTTTCCAGAAGGCCAGTGCCACACGCCTGGGGCGGTTTTCTACGTGAGGAGGGATTAGCTGCGTGACCCGGGAACTCTCCCTGCCATTGCAGGGGCGAGGGCCACCTGCCTGGGGAGGCCGCGCTGCCCTGGTTCTAGGCAGACAGAGGCGGAGCAACCCCTGGATGGAGACGAGAGAGCCAGACGGGTCCGAAGTTCAGGGAAACTTGACCCCCGTTTCTCAGGAGCCCCTCCCGCACTTGCTAGCATGTTAGGGCTGATGGCCCCCACTGCACCTGAGACTGGAAAAGACTCATCACGTCTGTAGGTTGCTTTGTTTTCTTGATCCAACAACTTACTGGAACAGCCCAGTTTCTTTCAAACCTCAGACCCCCTGTGTTCGTTTGCAAAACCGGCCGTTCCTCCAACCTTCGTCCCGTGTGGGAAACCAGAGCTCTTCCTTGGCTGCACCTGCCTCAGCTCCAGGGAAGGGGACCCCGAGCACAAGTTCAGCCCCTAGAACTGCATTAGCATTGAGGCCCTGGCCCTCTTCCCCCGTGTCTGCTCGTGCAATGAGCCGAGGGCCCATGAGGGCAATACTTTCAGACTTGTCAGCACGACTCCTTGTACAAGTGGAAGGCGGCGGCACAGTGTCCTTGGGTTGCGCTCACGGGCTGCCTCGGAGAAGCCAGGGGCCAGGCCCCGAGGGAGCAGCTGGGCCGTCCACGGCGGACGCGTCCCCTCGAGCCCACCTGCCACCCACTGCTCGGTTCAGAGGGAAGAAAGGCAGGGGATAGAAAAGAAGGTTAGGTACAGGGGAGCCCACGTCCCAGAACCAGGTGCTGGGGTTGGAAAGGATTGTCCCCAGAGGTCTTTCTAGCTGCTCAGAGCATCTGGGCCAGTGTCCGAGCTGAGAAGCCTAAGAGTTCCCCAAAGCTGTTCGATGAAAGGTAGAAAGTGTAGCTTTTTCCTCTCTGGTTTTCTCCCCGTGTTGCCCGCCCCGTTGCCCCCGCCCTCCCTGTCCTGCCACCGCCCGTTTCTAATCTTCGGTTTTGTCCCTCGTTTTTGTAGATTATGATTTTGGAGATGTGTTTCCAGCAGTGCCGTCTGTACCCAGCACAGACTGGGAAGGTGGGACAGAGTCCGCTGTCACCCTCTTTTCCCGTTTCGCTACGTTTCCATGCCAAGCTTGCTGCATGATTCGAAATCAGCTCATTATTTGTAATAATGTCAGTGATCATAATAAAGCCAAGTTTGCTCTTCTGATAGATGGAATTCTGCAGGAGGAGAACTTGACCTAGGCAAATCCCATCTCCTAGCGCAGGACTCCCGCCTTCACGCGGTGGCCGCATGGGGTCGCCAAGCGATCTCCCGTCCCGATTCCCTTGCCGGTCGAAGCGCCGGATGTGCACAGGGGACCGCCGCCTCGCGGGGGTGCCAGTGGCCCGACCCAGCGAGCGGGGACTTGTTCTGGAAAGCGTGGGTTGAACCTGTGGACCGTAAGCTCTTTCAGGTCAGATGTGCTCCTGGGTCAGAAGCATCGAGCAGGAAAGGCAGAGGACTCGATTCCTCCAGTCCGTTCTTGACGGCCTCCTCTCTGGCATGGTTGAAAGAGACTGAGGACCGAATGAGCGAAACTGCCCACGCACTGCTGAAACTTCCCACAGGGAGATTCTCTCTGAGGTTTTAAGGCAGATTAAGAGAGAATCTGCCCGCTCTCCCACCTGTCCACTAAGCGGCAACGACACTTGGGTGTTCTCCTGCCCGTGACTCCGCTTTCTGGGCTTCCGAGAGTCCGTAGAGCTCCACCCCACGTTCTCACGATTACGAGAGGGTTAATGCTTCCTCTAGATCTGAGGCCATAGCTACCCCCGCTCCCTCCTTGTTAAAGAACCACTCACCCCGTGGGCCCCTTCCGCCAGGGGCTGGCCCCGGGCGGGGGTGTTGACTGCTCATCCTGGGCAGGAGACAGAGATGTGCGTCTCTCTCCGCTGCTCCAGAGCCGGCCCCTTTGCTATTAGTGCCGTGATCTCTGAGTAACGCATGACGGATGATCTTTTCCCAAGTAACGTGAGCATGAAATAGCTTAGTTTGAGGGAAATAAGATACGGCATGAGGGAAAATTAATTAGGTCATCTGGCTGTGAGTGTAGCACCGAAGAGTGCCACGGGGTAGTTAGTTAAGATCAGCCCGAAATCCAGAATTCCATCGTAACATCATTTACCCTCTCAACCTCTCTTCTTGCAGTGCACATGCTGGGCATTGGTTTTGTTTGTTTTTTTTTTCTCTCTCCCTCTGATTCTAACCACTAACCCCCTGCCGACCCAGCTCCTAGCTGCCTGTTGCAGTCACTTGACAAGCAGGGCCTGACCTTCCTCCGCAGCCCTTGAGAGCTCCCTGTGGCCTGAGAGCTAACAGCCCCGGTGGCACTGCTTGCTCGGGCGGGGCCGGGCTGGGCTCCGGGGGCCGGGTGACCTTAACCCACCCCCCACCCCACCCCGTGACCTCCTGAGTTCCCGAGGCTCCTCTGGCAGCTCACCTGGGAAGCTTTGCCTGCTTCCACCCGGAGGGGAGCAGGATTCGGGGGCGGCTCCAAACTCTGGGCCCTGGAGTGGGGGTTGGGGCGGCCTTCCATGGTCCTCAGCTCACTTCCAGAACTGGTGGGCCCCCCCAGCGTCCAGCCTTGACACCCAGCACGTCCCGTGGCCTGCTCACTCGCCCCTCAGCTGCTCCCACAGACAGCCGCAGGTCTCTGGGGGCTGGAGCAAGAATGTCTGGCCTTGCGGCATCCTTCTTTGAGACCAAAGGGCGAGGTTTGCTGCACCTGAGAACGAAGGCTCTGGGGTCCCGGGACATGAGCAGCACATCTCGTGTGTTGCTAGTGTTTCTCTGGCAGGGCTGGCGATTGCTTTCGGCCCCGCTTTTGTCCTCCCATGAAGAGACGCTGTACTTTTTATCAAACTGGCTGATGTGCTGCATCAGCAGACAGCTGCCCAGCGGTTTCCAAGACCCACTAGGCAGCCGACAGCAGGTCGGGCCCTTCCGGATGAGGCTGAGGACGGGAAGCGTGTTTACTGTGTCTCCTCTGGGCAGATAATGGCCAACGAGACGTGTGTAAGCTGGCAAATGGGGCGTGAACGTCCCCTGTCCCGTGCCATTAGCTGTCACCCAGCCTCTTCCGCCAGTAGGGCCTCAGTCCTCTGCTGGGGCAGCTCCCATCTGCCACCAGATAAGTGCCCCGTGTGCTTTAGGCACGCCCGTTCCAGTACCTGGGGCGGATGGTTGGGGGCAGGGGGAGCCGTTAAACCAGCCCCTCTCTGGAGAGTCAGCCCCCCTCCCCTCCCCGCCTTCTCCCCAGGGTGGAGCCAAGGGTCAGGGTGACCCACCCAGAAAGGACCAGTAGGCAAGCTGAGTGAAACTGAGTTCCCAGCTCTCACCTTCAAGGGGCGCCTGGTCCTGCCCCCCCTTCCCCTCACCCCCCTCCCCAGGAGTGAGCGGATAGGATGTCAGGGAGAGAAGCGGCCGCCGAAGAGCCCATGAGGCAGCTGTTGGGGGGCAGCCACTCGGCACACCTTTCTTCTCCCCTTGGCATCTCCTCGTTGCCCTGATCTGGCCTCTCGTCCTGCCTCCTGTGCTCTGGGTCCGTCTTCTGCCCTTCCCCCACGCTCCTCACTCTCTGGGCTCCCTGTCCTGCCCTCAGCCCCTGCCCCCACTCTGCACCCCTCATTTTCTCTGATTCCCAGTCTCTCCCTCTATTCTCTCTGCCATTGTTGCGTTTTATCTGCCTCCGGGGTGGGCACCCTTCAGAGGACTTTGGGTATCTCAGCCCTGCCGGTGGCGTTTGGTGCTGAAGGGGCTCCCCAGTGCCCCTCTGGCACTCTCCGTCGGAAGGCTCTGAGGTTAACCTGAGAGGTCTGTGGCTCATTTCCTCTTGAGGCATCGAGGTCACTGTCCTAAGGGGCTTCAGCCTGGAGGCTGTTTAACCTCGGGGCTCTTAACTCGCACTGGGCCAGATTGCTACGAGCTCTTGAGGGTTCCCAGTGCAGGTGGTGGTGGTGTCCCTCCAAGTCGCTCTTCAAGCCCAGGTCCCAGGTCCTGTTGCTCTGGGGCTTCAAATCTTAAAGCAGGGCCACCCCGGTCGGATTTCCCTGGGAGGAACTCACCCGCCTCCCTCATGGGATAAGGCATGCCTTGGGGGCCCGGGGGCCCCAGATGCTGTCTGACGGGCTGTCTCCTGTTTCCCGTTCTCCCAGATGGAGACCTCACAGACACTGTCAGCGGGCCCCGCTCTACCGCCTCGGACCCGACCAGCAGCAAGGCCTCCACCAAGAGTCCCACCCAGCGCCACAACCCTTTCAGTGAGGACCAGGCAGAGACCGTGTCCTCCTCCGACACCACCCCTGTGCACACCACGTCCCAGGAGAAGGGGGAATCCCGCACTCTTGACCTGCCAGACGCCTGCACGGAGCTGGAGGTCATCAGGTCGGTGGGGAGGGGCCCCGAGAGCAGTTGGATGAGTATATCCTGACGTCCACCCTGTGCACTCCTAGTGTCACGTTGTCCGTGCAGACTGGGACCACACTCACCCCCTGGGGGGGCACATGGGCGTCTGCCTGGAGACTGAGTGTTTCTCCCGCAGTTCTGTGAGCAACAAGAAACAGAGGGCCCGAGCCCGGAAGACAGTGTGGCACAGGCCATGACCGGGGCCACGCCTGGGTGGGGGGCATTTGTCAGTTTCATCCAGGGCCACAAAGTCCCTTCAGACTGGAATTCTTCCCCAGGGGGTCCTTGGGTGTCGCTGTACAGTTTCTGAGGTCTGTACCGATTGTAGTTCAGCATGGCTCCTTGAAAGAAAAGGGTCTCCATCAATAGCCAGGGGCCTACCTAGAAGGGAAGAAGTGCTGACGGATTGGGCTCCCGACTGCCCCTGGCTCCCGCCCTGAGGCTCTCAGCCCTGGGTGAGAAGATGTGCGTGTCCTACCCCCGGGGCTTGCTGGCCTTGCTCCCCAGTGACTGGAGTCAGGGGTCCGCCTCTGCAGGGTGGTTCGAGTCCTGACTGGCTTCATGGGTTCAGACCTGGGGTCGCCTTGCCACGCCCGTCCCAGCCAATTTGCAACCAAGGGGTTTGAGCCCAAAAGACTTTAAGTCCACTTTTGGTTGAATTATCCACAGTGACACCTAATGGGAAGTGAGGTCCGTCCAGGGTCCGCCGGCCACATCCTAAGGGGAGGGCTGAAGGGAGGCGCCATCGCTCTGACCGACCGTGGCCTGTTTTGTCCCCCCAGAACACAGCTAGCTCATTGGTGTCATCGGCTAGAATCCGTGGGACCTGCTCAGGGGTTCCTCTGGTCCCTGTCTCTGCCAACAGCAGGGCGTCCCTCAGGGCCTGAGCTGCTCTGTGCCCCTGGCCTAGGGCCTCCCAGCCAGCGCTGCCCAGGACCATGGAAGCTTGGCTGTGCCCTCAGAGGTCACACGCCCAGAATCACCTCTTTTGACCCAGCCCACCTAATTCCCCAGTTCAGTGGCGCCCAGATGGTAAATCTCTCCCCATCGCTACTGTCCCAGGGTCACCAAGAAGAAGAAAACCGGCAAGAAGAAGAAGACCAGATCGGATGAGGAAGCTAGTCCGCTTCACCCCTCCTCCAGCCAGGACAGCTGTGCCAGGCGGGGCAATGGTGACAGCCTCGTCAGCAGCCCAGGCCTTGGGCGGGCCTCACCGGACGCTACCTTCACTTCCCCCCAGGGGGAGGGAGAGGGGCCCAGCGGCACAGCCGAGAGCAGCGAGCTCCCGGAGCCCGGCCAGATGGGTCTGCTCATCCCCGAAATGAAGGACACCTCCATGGAGCGCTTGGGGCAGCCCCTGAGTAAGGTCATTGACCAGCTCAACGGGCAGCTGGACCCCAGCGCCTGGCGCTCCCACGTCCAGTCCCCAGACCAGTCCTTTCGGACCGGCTCTCCCGGGGATGCCCCGGAGAAGCCGCCATTTTGCGACTTTAGTGAGGGGCTTCCAGCCCCAATGGACTTCTACCGCTTTACCGTCGAGAGTCCAAGCGCTCTTACATCAAGTGGCAGCAACCATGACCCTGCAGGGCCTGGCCAACCGCTGCATGTTCCTGGTGGCCCTGCGACTGCTGGCCAAGAAGAGGGAGGAGGAAGAAGAGAGGGACAGGCACCTGGGCCCCTAGAGGACACCCTGGGGGAGGCCCGGGAGCCAGAGACCCGGGGACTGGAGACACAGTTGCCCCCTGCGGGTGACGGACCTGTGCCCGAAGCAGAGCCCGGGACCCACGAGGCTCTCTGCCAGCTCAAGCGAGACCAGCCCAGCCCGTGTCTGAGCAGCGCTGAGGACTCGGGGGTGGATGAGGGGCAGGGGAGCCCTTCTGAGATGACCCACTCGGCAGAGTTCAGGTGAGCAAGGCTCTCGGTGCGGCTGCCGTGAGACGCCCCCGGCCTGCAAAGCAGGAGACAGTGGGCGTCGTCCTCCCAATGAACCAAGCAGAACCCCCGGAGGAACTAGCCTGGGCTGGGGGCTGCGACGGGGCGCACGTCTCCCCTCCCTCGCTCTGGCTTTTGGTCAGGAGCAGAGCCGCGACAACGGTGCCGCCGCGTGCCTGTGTCCCCTCCCACCCCCCTCCTGGCCTTCACCCTCCCCACGCTTGTCCCTCTCACAGGGTAGACAACAATCACTTACTCCTGCTGATGATCCACGTGTTTCGAGAAAACGAAGAGCAGCTCTTCAAAGTAAGTCCCAGGAGCTCAGGGGCCAGGGGCAAAAGCGCGCTGGCCCGGGCCGGGGGCGGGAGCCGGGGTGCCTGACCGTCCCCTGTCTTGGCCCCTCAGATGATCCGGATGAGCACCGGGCACATGGAGGGTACCCTGCAGCTGCTGTACGTGCTGCTCACAGACTGCTATGTCTACCTGCTCCGGAAAGGTGCCCGCCGCCCCCGGGCTAGGCCAGGGCAGCTGCTGAGAGCGGGTCGAGGACGACACTGACCACCCTCCCTCCCTCTGTGCCCCCCGCCCCTGGCTCTCGGCTGCCTGGCGTGTGGTGGCAAAAACACTCCACTCCGCCCCAAGACGAGCCCGGGGGCCTGCCCGCCACGAGGACCCCGTGTCACTGTCCTACTCTGTCATCTCAGGTCGCAGGACAAGGACGGGTCCTCGCTGAGAGAGGGGCCAGTCTTAGAAAAGGGGGCAGGGGGAGGGAAAAGAGGCCACTGAGAGTTACAGGCATTGGGGTCTCCTCTCTCAGGGGCCGCGGAGAAGCCATACCTGGTGGAAGAGGCCGTTTCTTACAATGAACTTGACTATGTGTCGGTGAGTGCGGGATCTGCAGTTGGCATAGGCCAACTGCATAGGACGGGGCTCCTCTGGCTACCCGCCTCGGGAGCTCAGAGCGAGGCACGTCCCTGCCTCGACCCCTCCGCCCCCAGGGCTGGGCGTCAGCTCCTCTCCCGAGGGCTTCACCACATGATGCTGGGGATGAGAACCGAGTCTGAGGACGCCTCTTTGTCCACCGTATTTCTGACCATCCCTCCCCTCCCTGACTCACGCCCTGGGTCCCAGGCCTCTGGGGCTTTACCTTGTGGCGATGCCAGGGTCTGCCTCCTCCCTCCCCAGCCGGCCCTCTGTCTGGCCGTGGCTGCCTCTTCCGCCAGGCAGCAGCCAAGCCCCTTGTGCATGTGAAGGTATCGTTTCTGGCAGGTGGGCCTCGACCAGCAGACGGTGAAGCTGGTGTGCACCAACCGCAGGAAGCAGTTTCTGCTGGACACGGCTGACGTGGCCCTGGCTGAGTGAGTGACGCTCCCCCCCC